ACTTGAGGTAGGCGCTGCTGGCCGCCAGCACGTTCTTGTGCGCGCGGAAGAGGGCGTTCTGCACCACGATGATCACGTCGCACAAGAAGCCCTTGGTGCGCTGGTTGTTGAGCTGCAGCAGTAGCTGCCTCGAGTGGCCAGGCGCCTCCATCGTGTCCAGCATCGTCTGCCCAGCACACTCTCCTGCGGGGGAGACACACACCAGCTGGGTAAGAGCTAGGCCGGGCCGGGCCCTGGCCGCTCGCACCCAGCCCAGCACTGCTCCCCTCCGCTTCCCCTTCCCCTCAGCTGAGCAGGAGCCTGGAGCACCAAGGCCTGGTCACTAACAGAGGAGCCTCAGCGGCCTCCGGGAGTAGGAAGCTAGGCCCGCTGGCCCCAGACCGAAGGAGCAGGACGAGAAAGGCTGTGGATGGAGAGGAGGCCAGGTTAGCCTATTTGTCCCAGCCCCAGATGCTGCTGGGCACTCGAGCAGGGTGCTGGGAACTTCCAGGGAGAAAACTATTCGGGCGAAATGACCCTTGCGGAGACAATTACCCGATTTAAGTAAAATGTCCGCTTCAGGAAAAGTCATTCAGGGCCGAAAAGTTTGCCCAAGTGGGGAGAAAAGGAGCCGAGCAAAAAGCGACTCCCGCCTCGAGAGAAGTTGCCCCAGTTAAGGGAAGTGATAAGGAGGACGGGAGCACGATGCCCATCGAGGCGCCGCCCTGGCCGGGGGCTGTCAGGCCTTCGTTTGGCCAGGCCGCCCCGGCGCGGCGCGGGAAGCGGAGACAGTGGCTGCGGTGGCGGGCAGAGCGCGAAGGCCGGGCCCTGGCGCGGGGAGGGCGTTATATCGGGGCAGGAGGCTGAGGCAGGAAGCAGGTGGGGGGGAGGGGGGAGCCACGCAGCTCCCAGGGGAGGGAGGGGGCAGCGCCCCGGGCGGGCACGACGCACAGCCGGCTGAGGCCCTGACCCCGGCCTGCGCCCCACCCGCGTTCCCGACCCAGCCCCGGCCTCGACTCTACATCTCTTCCCCAGCTTCCCTCGGCCCCGTCTCCCCCGAAACTCTGCCGCCCCAAACTTGGGGGAAACTTTCCCAACTTCAGACAGGGCGGGAGGAGCGCGCCGGCCTTAGTCCCTCCAGCCCCCAGTTTCTCCTCTAGGCCCCCAATTTCAGCAGCCTGGCGGCCCCGGGGACCCACGCTTAGTCTTGAGCCGCCCTGCCCGCGGGCGAGCGCGCCCGCCCCTGTTCCCCGCCTGGCCCGCAGGGCCTCGCGGGCCCGTTACCTGCGGCCGCAGCCCAGCCCGGCTTCCCTCCCCGAGGCTGTGGCAGCTCCTAGCCTGCGCCCCACCCGCCCCGCTGCCAGGCGCCGAGCTGTGCCAGGGCAGCGCCCCTGGCAGCCCCGCCCGCCGGCTCCCCTTGCCTTCCCCTCTCCTCCCCAGCCCATGTGCGGGCAGAGCCGGCCCCGGACCGCTGACCCCGCTGTGAACCCGCCGACGAGCAGCGGCCCAGCCATCCCGAGTCCTCTAGGGAAGACACTTAGTGCCCTAAACGCCTGCGGCGACCCGGGAGGCCCGCGCCTGAGGATGCTCCCCGGCTGGCCCACGCGCGAGGACCAGCCTGTCCCGGGTCCCATGCCTGCCCCTCCCGGTCGCCAACTCGAGGACCCACCTGGGGGGCATGTCGGAAGCCCCGGGCCCGGCTGCCGGCGGATCCAGGGGGGACGTGGCTGCAATGCGCTGCCCTCCGCCCGCCGGGCCCCCGGTCGGTCTGTCCTGCCGGTCCGTCCTCCCCGCGTCCTGGTCGCGTCTCAGCCCCACCGCGCTTTCCGCACACTCTTATCTGGAGCGGCCCGAACCGGCAGACGCTGCCGCGGCCATGGCGCCACCTCGCGGCCGCGCGGGATGTGTATGGCCGGGCTGCGACCTCTGGCGCACACCTGGGCTGGAGACTTACAGATGCGGAGCTGAGCTGGAGATCTGCAGGTTCACACTTCCAGATGTGCCCACTTGGGGACCCAGATATCGGACCTGGGAGTCCCATAAACCTTAGAGTTTTGGGCTGTGTGCTCCCGAGTACATATTTCTATGTAATAAGGCGCCAATTCAGAAAAAGTTCTGTCTTCAGAAAGGGAACTCTGAAGTCGGGTGTGATGGCACACTCTTGTAATGCTAGCACCAGGGAGTTGGAAGCGGGAGGACCAGGAGTTCAAGGTCAGCCTCTACGCCCTCACTTCGGGAGCGGGGGGGGGGGGGAGACGGGGGTTGGAACACTAGTGACAGTAGGTGGTGAGAGGGCGATTTTGGAAATCCTAAATGAGATGAAGGTAGCTAAGTTCGGAGCGGGGAGCGGGGCTTTCATTGGGCATTTCTGAACATCACTATCCCCTCCTCAGGAACGTTATCAGTACGCACATCGTCTACGTTCAAACGCTGTCCAAGTAGTGACACTCGCAGCCCGCCCCCTCCTGGAGTCCCAACTTCTTGGGCTACTGCAGAGGCTGCTATGGTGAGCACCCCTGTGAAACAGAGTGGAGGGTGTACCAAAGAACCCTCCCTGAACTTACGGGTCTCCAGAAGGAACCTAGGATCCTCGACGGGAAAAAGCTGGACAGAGCCCCTTGGGACGTGTCCCCTACCCCCACATCCCTCATCTAAGCAGTTTTGAAGGATCCTGAATGATTTTTTTTTCACCAATCCACCATTTGAGAATTATCACGAGAGCCGGCGGCTTGAGCTCCAACCCCTCCCAAAAGATCCTACACAACGCCATACGAGGGAGGGCTCCATTCATGTTGGTGACGCCTCTTCTAGGTGGGAGGAGACCGTGCACCGGCTCGTGGGTGCTCCGGAAATGTCCCTGCGCAGCTGGGCGGAGGCACCAGCACCGTTGCAAGCACCGCGCCTCAGTGGCCCACGCTCCGCCTCCTCCCCGCACCTCCTGACCCCCGCCTACACCATGGGGGGGGGGTCCCCCCAAACCGCCCACAGCTTCTTATTGGCTGCACCTTCCTCCGTGGCCAAGCCGGAGAGGCTGGGGCGCAGTTACTATGGTAACCAATGAGGTTCCCAGGATCTCATCTCTCAGAGGCCTTGGAGAGCTTAGCAACCGCGCGGGGCCTCAAGACTGGTGGGGGCCGCGCTCGCCGCACCCCACGCTGTCCTCGAGCCCCCACGCCCCCGCTTGAGGTAGTGGCTGAGTCACTCGCCCCGGGGCCGCGACACGGCCTCTGGCTGTACCAGTGAGACACCAAGGTCTTGGGCGCCCCCTACAGGCTGCGTTTCATTGGCAGGAGACTTCTACGCCTGGCCTAGGATTCTGGTCCAAACAAGTTAAGACTGCCCTTTGCCAGGTTTCTGTGGTGTGCTCCGAATTCATCTTTTCCACGAACAGTCTTGTACATCAGCACGAGACAAGCACTGCGGACGCACAGTCGGCTCCGCAATTTCTGAGCTCTAGGAGAAACGGACACAGTCTCTCAGTCGAGGGATACGCTTTCTAGCTGAAGCAGAGTGTTGGGGACGTGAAGGCTCACCAGAAATGCTCTTAGCAAATCCCAAATAGCAAGCAAGATGTCTGTTTTTTCTCCTTTTAATGGGGTTAGATTGTAGGCGTCTGAAAAAAAGCCCCCAGCCTCTGTGTGTCTATCCGCTGACTGATCAACACAAGGTTCAACGTGTCCACTGTTTGCCGTCATTGCATCGCTATGGGGAGGACCACAGAGTCCTGTCCAAGCGTCTCTGTGTACTCCCCCGCTCCTCTCGCCATGCCCCCACGCCTCCCGCCCACGTCCTCGGGTTTTACTACGCAGCTATGGCTGGCCTCGAACTTTCTATGTAGATAGGCAGGCCTCAAACTCACAGAGCCTTGTCTGTCTCCCATGCGCAGGGATTAAACGTAGATGCGCAACACCATGCCCCGCCTTTTAACTCAACTTTTCTCTCCTGCCTTATCTCCGGGTCAACCTGGTGCAGCTTTCTCCCCTTGCTGAACACATGCCGCCCCCATTTAGAACCTAGAGATAGAATTGGGCTATTCTGGGGAACCTGCCCCACAACGCATGAGCCCGTTTGGCCAGTTCTCACTCCTCTAGAAAGGGGTTTCTGCCAAGTTCAGCAGTCATTCCCTCTCTTACAAGCTCTGCCTATGCCTTCTACATCAGTGAGTGCTGAGGTGGTCTCTCGGTGCCAGAGCTGGCCACTGGCCAGTTGCCCTCTCCATCACTTGTCAGGCTAGCCCTTCCCTTTGTGGATGCTCCAGACAATTTCCTAGACTCTCTTATAGAGGACCCTTTACTCATTTCTGAAGTCCGGGCTACGCTCCTCAACTCCCTTACCTTCCCTGCGGTTTCCACCATCTGACTTGTACCTTCCCGCCTGCAGCCGAGTCAAGAAACCTTCCAAGACTTCCAACCTTCACCACCCCTCTTCCCCAGCCTCTTGCTGGGGTTTCCTTTCCTTGGTCCCCCAAGAGAAAGAGAAAGCTACAGTGACCATACGGGGCGTGATACCACCGCGAGGGATCTTCCGGCGTTACAGACCTGCCGGGTCTAGGAATCAGGAATGTGGTTGGGGGCTACCAAGTGAGGCCCCCCGAGGTCCAGGCGAGAGAGGACTGAGCCCCCCAGGACTCCCGAAGCCCAAAGGGGAGAGTGAATAAATACGCAAAGGGGCTGCACCCTCCCTGCACTGTCCTCCTCCAGCCCGCCGCCTGCAGTTCCGGAAAGTTAACCCCTTGGAGACCAAGCCTGGGGTTACGTACTCCCCCTACCCAATCCTGCTTCCGCGCGCACACCCTCCTCCCGCTCCCAACTCCAAGTCGCTTCGTCCCGTCTTCCCCTACGCTGCCCCCCCCCCCCCCGCGCTTGCCACTATAAATAGCATCTTTTCCCGTTTCCTAAATTCCCTGCTGACGTCGGCAACGCGTCAGTGTGTAGGAGCCGCGGCCGCATGAATGAGCCGCCGCACGAGTACTACGCGCGCCTATAAAAGCCGCGGCGCCGGCCGAGCTGCGGGAGGCAAGCCGGCACTGGGGCGACGCGGCCCGCCAGGTAAGGACCCACCGACGGTCGGAGATGGGCCGATGCACGGACACCATGGGAAGGCAAGGAGGGGACCAGCGGGCGGAGGGTTGGAGGGTCGCTCCGGAGTGAGGAAGGGGACAGAGTGGGAGGGACGAAGGTTCCTTGCAGCTTGGAGGAGCAGGGGCCGGAGGCTGACCCAACCCTATGCAGCACCTGCCGGGACCCAAATGAAGACGCAGGACACTCTGGAGAAACATGGAGCGGAGAACCGAGCCCCCCGACTCCATTTCCCGAAGCTGAGCGGCACCTGCGCCATCCTTCTAAGAAAGTGGGGAGAAGGTGCTGGAGTCCCAGGAGACGCGCCCCCTCAATTCCCTCCCTGTCCGCAGAGCGGTGACTCAGCCTAGATGGCCCCGACTGATTGAGCCGGGGCGGCCACGACAGACGCACACCTCGACCCTGCGACTCTCTCGGGACCCCTGCCCCGCATGCTGCCCAGACGCCCCTTCCCAGTCCTGTCCGGTCCCTTCGGGCTGTCCCACTGCCCAGGACTTCCCGCCTCTGCGAGTGGAGCTGTCCTCTCAGGACCAGGCGGGGGCGGGGCTTCGGCCAGGCGCCCCACTCCACCCCCACCGCCACCGCACTGCCGGAAGTGCCTCCCCACTGGGACATCTTTGACGTCACAGGACTCTGACGTCAACGGTCGCGTGCCTGTCCGCGCGTGTTTGGGCGGAGGGAGACGTGAGAAGCAGCAGCGCCCCGGCCGCGGGCGACGGGACATCCCCGCCCGGGCAGTGCGCCGGCACCTTGGCTCTAGACTGCTTACTGCCCGGGCCGCCCTCAGTAACAGTCTCCAGTCACGGCCACCGACGCCTGGCCCCGCCCCAGGACCGCCGACCCCGGGCCCCTCCGCGCCTCCCTGCGCCGCTGTCCGCGGTGCTGATGCAGCGCAGGAGCCTCCCTCGGGCCCGCCCGTCCAAGGTCCCCGTTGGCTGCTGTGGGCGCTGGTCCCGCACACGCTCGTACAGCCCCAGCTGCCCCCGCCGCCTGCGCTGCTGACGTCAGCCTGACAGTCCCGCCCCCGCGTCTCCAGGGCAACCGTGGCTTTCGATTGTTACTGTGGGAACCGGAGGTAACAGTCTACAGCCATGGTCGCCCCGCAGCACGCCCACGCTCCCCACCACGCCGAGTTCTGCCAGCCCGGGTTTGGGCAGATGCAGAACAAGAGGAGGCGGGGCGGCGACGCAACATCCGATGTGTCTGCGGGGGTGGCAGGAGGTGTGCTCAGAGAGGCAGCCTATGAGGCTGTTGCCTGCGCATCCACCCAGGCACAGAAACAAGCCAGGTCCGCGGAGTGTCTAAGCATCCTCCTCAGTGACTGTCCGGTTTTTCCAGTCGAGCTATCTGCTACCTACTGGTGGCAAAAAATTAGGTTGTTCTGAGATAAGAATTTTTATCTTCTGAGGAGGAGGGTGTGGAGGACAGGTGAGACCAGAAGTCCTTCAAGAAGGGAAAACACGTTTGCCTGCAGAGGGCTAAAGGGGCCGGAGAAGGAAATTTATCACACGTTTCTTCCAGAAACTCCCAGGTGAGCAGGCATAGGGCAAAGAATTCATTTCCTGATAGAGCTACAACCTCTCTATGACTTTGTCTCCCCAACTTTCTCCTGAACCACAGAAGATGATCCTTGCCGGCTGATAGTGGCTTATGCCTTTAATCCTAGCACTCGGGAGGCAGAGGCAGGAGGATCTCTGTGAGTTTGAGGCCAGCCTGATCTACACAGGGAGTTCCAGGACAGCAAGTTCACCTGATCCCTTCTCCCTTCAGTTGGTCTCTAAGTACTGTATCCAACGTGCCATGACAAGGAGTACCACAAAGGCCAAATCTGTGGCTAGGGCTGCTGAGGGACTCTGCTAGGGTACTGTCTTCAGGGCTTTAAAAATCCTCTGATCTAATCGAGGCAGAAGAAACAAACTACAGGGACATTCTGAACCCATCAGAAGAACGTGGGCAGAAGGTTGCCTGTACAATGCTGCGATTGTCTGGTATCCTAGAAAGCATTTAGTGTAAACCATGCCCTCTTCCCCAAGGATTATTTTACGGGTTGGAAAGCTGAGGCCTAAGTTGGGCATTTAGCCTATAGTGAAGTGGTAGTTACTGCCTGCTTTCTACAGGAGAGAAACCACCAAAGCCAGGAGCAGTGGTGATAAGTACATGCAGGCCCAGCTACTCAGGAGACTGAGGAAAGTGAGCCCGTGAGTTCAGAAGTTCCAGGCTAGCCTGGGCAATATGGTGAGATCCTCTGCGTCTCAAAACAACGGGGAGGGAGGCATGTGATGGCAACAGGCAAGAATGTGAACTTTTGGATCCGAATCACCCAATCTTGAGTAATGTACTTAGCCTTTGTGTCTGTTTCCTCAATTGTAAAATTCGGTTATTAGGTTAATGACAGTACTTACTTCATGACATTACAAAGTAAAATTAGGCAATAAGATGGTGGGCTGAACACAGAGCTCCATAGTACAGTCTGTGCTTAACATGCCCAAGGTCCTGGGTTTGGTTCAAGGCACCAAAAATAAATGAGTTAAGCCATGGTGGCAGATACTTTTGAATCCCAGCATTTGGAAGACAGAGAGAAGTAAGTGGATTTCTGTGAGTGCAAGACTAACCAGAACTCTGGTGAGACCTTGTCTCAAAAATAAATGAGATGATGGGCTTCTACTTGTCCCCTTGTCTGGTACAGTTATTTCTCAATAGATGTTATTTTCTAGCCTCTGGACCTTATTTGCCTGGGCTATAAATTGAAAAAAAAAAGTGTGCTTTTGTTTTTGGAGACAGAGCTTCTCTATGTAACTAGCTTTGTAGACCAGGCTGGCCTCGAACTTATGGAGATCCACCTGCCTCTGCCTCCTAAGTGCTGGGATTAAAGGTGTGCACCACCAGGCCTACACAGCTAAATTGAAACTTTCACAGCAGTGATTCCTCAGGGGACCTGCTTTCTCTCCCCTGCAGAGGGTTCTTAGTCTCATTAGAAGCCCTTTCCTAGTATTACATATTTTACCAGGGATTTAAAACTCTACCCAAGTTTTCAAATACCCAGCTCAGGAATGACGGGGCAGTCTGTCAAACAGATCTAGCTTTCTCTAAGAGTTCCAATTGAACAAATGTTCCTCATGTAAGTGGCTCACAGGGGTTCAGTCTGCCTGGTGAGAGGTGACAACCATTCTGATTTACAGGAGGAATCTTTAGTCCAAGCATGAGCACTTCTGCTTCACCTAATAAGGCTCTGCCTAAACCTTCCCCTCCTTTTCCGCAAAGAGCCAGGTCCTAAAGACCATTCACATGGATCTTTATTTAGAGGACTCCCAAGGAGTGCAGGTCCTTTTCCCCAGCGAATCCCGCCTAGAGGGGGCAGCCTAGGACTGCCGGAGAGTCTGAGTACTGATTTGCAGATCCATCATTTTCAGAAAAGCAGAAATAGTAAGGGGCCAAAGCCAATAGGTTTATAGGAGTAATCCCATCTGTTGCAATGTCTTCTTGTCAAGAAAGTAACCCCTGGAAGACTACAGCAAGGCAGAGACCAACTCCCTACAACCAGTAAACTGGACCTTTGGGTATAATCCCGTTCTTTTTTTTCCCTTTAATTTTAAAAAGATTTCAGGGTGTATGCGGATTTGTTTTCATGTTTTGGCAGTCAATGCCTTTACCTGCTGAGCCATCTATCTCACGGCCCCTTTGGTGGAAGTCTTAAGTTCCAGACTAAAGAAGCCAGGGGCCTGGCTGATCCCACAGAAGACTACATCTGAGTAGTCTGGAGAAAGGAAACACCTGGCCTGTGGAGACAAGGCTGCCCTCAAAGTCAGATCCTACCTCTGCCTGCATGTGCATGCCTGGGACCGCGGGTTAGAGCCTCTGGAACTATAGATGTTTGTGAGCTGACACGTGAGTGCTGGGAACTGAACCTGGGTCCCCTGCAAGAGCAGGCTGTGTTCTTCAGCTCCTCCACTTCTCTGCCAAGGATGACTTGGAGTATCCATGTCAGCCTCAACTTCTACTCAGTTATAAAGCTCCCGAGAGGACAATGGCTTGGGATTAGGTAGGACCCTGTGATGTCCTAGAAAAAGCAGTCTGTCATAAGTCAGAAAGCAGCGTGTGGCTGGAGTGAACACTGAAATAAGAACATGGCAAGGCAGTAATCCTTAAAGTGCCCAGAACTGACTGCACTTCCCAAGGCTTTCTCAACACATCGGATAATTAGGAAGAACATCAATCTCAGAAACCCTGCAGATGGGCTCCTTAGAAAAAGGCAGTTTATTCTGTGCTGTCTTTGGCCTCTGCAGCACCTGGTACAATCCAAGCCTTCAAGCTCAGAGTTCAGAAAGGATGGGGCAGTTATGGAAGAACAGGGCCAGGGACCAAAAGAAAATCAACACTCAATTCTCAGGTACTGGGTTCTAGGAAGCCTAAAAGCAGGTGACCTAGCCAGAGCCTTGTAAAGTATCCTCTCTCCCCAAAATCCTCAATCTAAACCGCTTTATTGTGTGGCAATCACTGGGGTGCCGACCGGTTTGAGCATCACTCTCCTCTCACGGGCCTTCTGATGTTTATCAAGGCTACCTGCTCCTCTTTGCTCCAGTAAGGGACAGCTATCTTTCAACTAAGCACGGCAGGAGTGCCACGGTGGAGATTCCAGCATGCTAAGAACAGGAGGGCACGAGACAGCAGCTGCTAGAGCAAGAGGGTGCAGTTCGGAGACATTTGCTGGCCCTTCACTCTGCAAACTGGTCCAAGAACTTGAGGTAGGCCTGACGCTGGGATGCAGCTGCTGGGATGAAGTGTCCGCCAGAGTGGGTGAGGGTGACAGCCCCAAGAAATCGGCTAGCCAATTGCATACTCTCCTGAGAAGGGATGACTCGATCAGTGTCCCCAAAAACATGAAGCGAAGGTAGTGACAAGGGGCTCTGTAGGATGGATTCCTTAAGGCCAAGGCCTCGGGGGCAGAACCCCGACACAAGTATGATAAATCGCGGCAAGGGGAAGCGGGGATCGCCTGCCTGACCCAGGGCACAAACAAAAGCGGCTAGTGCAGCCCCCTGGCTGAAGCCAAGAAGTCCGTCAAAAGGCCCTAGCGAGTCCAGGGCTTTTGCCACCGTTTCCAGGGCCGCCTCCAAACCCCTGCACGCCGCAGGCTCTTCCAGCGCGGAGAAAACATCTGCTTCCTGTTCGGAAAACCACCAGCCTCGAGGCTGCTCCTCCGGAGCACAGGGCCCTAGAAGCAGATGGGAGAAGAGCACGGGACCAGGATTAGAGGGGGCCGGGGAGAAAGGGGAGGGCAAGCTTGGGAGGGACGCGGGAGGAACTGGACACAGATAAAGGAGAAGATCAGGGCGCGCAGGCTGGAGCCTGGGTGAGAACCGGGAGGTCCGCTGTGCTGAGGGGGCCGGTAAGTTGCGGGGCATTTCCGGAGCAGGCTTGTCTCACCGGAGTCTGGCCTGGCGCCCTCGGGAGCTGCTGCCTCGGGGACCGGATGTGGCCCGCTGAGGCACACGAGCTCTGCGCGGCCCCGCAGCGCCTTCCTCAGCGCTCCAGTCTTCTCACGGAAGCCCCGTTCGCTCTGCCGGAAGCCCGCCAGGCACAGCACTCTAAGGGGCTGCCGCGACGCCATCCCGCAGAGCCACCGGAAGCAGGTCTTCACTGGGCGGAAGTGGGACCTGCGAGGGGCGGGGCCCGAGCCGACAACACCCAGAAGGCGGGGACGCGGAGGGCGGGCGCTAGGAAGACAAAAAGGTGGGGTGTGGCCGTAAATACCTGCGGCTGGAGACGCTTCAGGGAGCCGGCGGGGCAGCCTTCCGGTCGGCGCAGTTGCAACCCCCACAGGCCGGGGCTGGAGACGGGCCTCGGGAGCCCTGCTGCACCTGAGGGAGGCGGCACAGCCGGGTCTCACTACTGCGACCTCCACCCGGCAACCGAGCATTTCCCCCGGTGTCCTCAGGGCGGCGGCCGTGGCTCACGTCGCTGGGGAGGCAGCCTGAAGCCAAAGCTGTGCCTGCAGGATCACAGCTCCGCCATCGGTGAGGTCCCCCCCTACCTTGCCGAGCTGGCCGAGCTGGCCAAGACCCCGGGGTCCTGGGTCCCGACCGTGATTCACAGTCCATGGCCCTAAAGAGCTGCCGGCGTAGAAGTCCATAGGGTAGGGCTGCTGCCAGGAAATGTCCTTCAGGGCCACGGCCGCCTAGGGAAGAAAATGACAGCCATACTTTTTTTTTGGCCTCTGCATTAGTAAATCTGACCAAAGCCTAAGAAGGGTATTATCTATTATTACAGAATATATACTACAAAAAGGAAATGTGAGGTAAGACTCTCATTTACACAGAGAGTCAGGTGTGGTGGCTCTTTCCTCCCAGCACTGCAGTTTCGGCCATCCTGGGTATTAAGACCAATTTGTTTGTTTTTTTTTGAGACAGGGTCTCTTAACAGTCCCGGCTGTCCCGAAACTCGCTCTGTAGATCAGGCTGGCCTCGAACTCACTGAGATTCGCCTGCCTTTGCCTTCCAAGTGTTGGAATTAAAAGTATGTGCTACCACTGCCCGGCAGGCCAGTTCTTTTTTTTTTTTTTAATTTATTTATTTACTTATTATGTATACAATATTCTGTGTATATGCCTGCAGGCCAGAAGAGGGCACCAGACCTCATTACAGATGGTTGTGAGCCACCATGTGGTTGCTGGGAATTGAACTCAGGACCTTTGGAAGAGCAGGCAATGCTCTTAACCACTGAGCCATCTCTCCACCCCCCAGTTCTTAAATACACAAACCAACAAAACTACGAAGCAAGATGGTGGCCCAACCTCGGAACATGCTTACCCATGCCAGCCATCCCACAAGCCTCCCTTGACAGAATGTACAAAGTTCACTCCCCAGCAGATTTTCCAAATGTAGTTGTTACCTCGTAGGGTGTCAGCAGTGGCTTGGAAAAGGCTGAACCCCAGTCAATGGATAGGCGTGGACATGCCACCTGCACCCACCTAAGAAGAGAAGTCAGGAAGACTTGACATGGAGCCTAGTGGTTGTGGCCCAAGCCTTTAATCTTAGCACTCGGGAGGCAGAGGCAGGCAACCTCAGTGAGTTCGAGGCCAGCCTGGTCTACAGACTGAGTTCCAGGACAGCCAGAGCTGTTTCACAGAGAAACCCTGTCTCAAAAAACGGGGGAAAAAAAAGACGCCATGGAGAGCACCTCTCTCTGAGGTACCACACTGAAAAACATGACTATTTGGACCATTTTTACATTTTTAAATGTGTATTGATTCACTGTTGTTAAGAGTACTATATACTGTTGGGAGGGTAACTCTAAAGTGCTTGCCTTGTAAGCCAAGGGGTTGACCTTAACTCCTAGAACTACTGCATTTAAAAAATGGGAAAAAAAAAAAAAGTGTGTGTGTGTCATATACACTTGTACCCCAGCACTAGGGAGGCCCAGACAGATGGATTGCAAGCTCCAGGTCAGTGAGAGACCCTGTCTCAGAAAATTTAAAAGAGAGAGAGAGGGTGGACAGAACCTGAAGGTGGACACCAGAGCTCCACATATGCACCAGCTGGGGCGGTGGTGGCACATGTGAGTTC